GGGTCAAAAAACTGCACTGGGCAGATACGTTGCAAAGGACCTGTCCAATCTGTCACATCAAACCCAAAGCCCGCTCGTGTCTCTGGAGTTGATTCCGACTCAGAGCGAGCCCATTAGATGGGCTGACCTCCCCTTAGGGTTTGCAAAGATGTAAATTTTGCACAAGCAGATGACCTCATCCTCCTACTCAGGAGCGGCCAGAGGATTCGAACACCGATCTTCCAGTTGGCGGTGAGCCCCATCAGGGCTCCTCTCACAAGGGACCTTAAAGCCGGTCTGACCCCTCTCACACACCAAGGCCGGATGACATCCAGACTCAGGTCTGACCCACTGGTCTCACTCACATCCGCTTTGTGGCCCAAGGGCACGAGCCCTGCAGGCCAGACCTGGACGCTGACCTCTAACTCCCCAAGCCAGTTTTGAAACTGAAGCCCAGTGCAGAGTGCGCAGGCGCAGCTCCTCTAGGACGGGTGGGTGGGGAGAGGGCGGAGTCTGAGACTGACTGGGCGTGGCACAGAGGAGAGGGGGGTTCTCTTTCACAGAACGGGCGTGGTGTACTCGACCCGAGGGGCGGGGACAGGGGCGTGGTCTAGATGAGAGGAGGTGTCTCACAGGACAGGGTCATGGCGTACTAGTGGGCGTGGCCCAGAGTGGAGGGCGTGGTATGTTGGGAACAGAGGGGCAGGGAAGGGGCGTGCCCTGGAGGAGAGGGGCGTGGTGTACTTATTACAGGGGGGGGCGGGGTGTGGCCTGGATGAGGGGGGTTGCCTCTATTGGGACAGGGCATGGCGTACTCTGAACACAAAGGCGGGGATGGGGCGTGGCCTAAGTGAGGGGGAATGTCTCTTGTGGGGGACGGGGCGTGGCATACTGGAGAAACTGGATGAGGCGTGGCCCAGGTGAGAGGGGGTGTGTCGCGCAGGACAGGGGCGTGGCACATTTGTGACAGAGGGGCGGGGAAGAGGCGTGGCCCTAGGGAGACGGGGTGTGTCTCTAGAGAGAAAGGGTCTTGACATATTTGCGAGGGGATGGGGCGTGACCCAGCACAGATGGGCGTGTCGTGCGTGGGTGCGTATTACATAATAATGAGCTATTGCGTTGCCTGGATAAGAGTGCTCAGGACCTGCCTGACAGCCCCGCCCCTCCCGCATGGAGACCAAGAGCGTCCTTAGTTACCACACCTTTGCGCAGGCACATGTCCACGCTTCAACCCCGATCATAGCTGCTACTCCTTGAATATGGGTTTTGGGGAGAAAAATTTCGCCTCTCTACCCCACCCAGCTTCTCCTCATTCAGCCCCAGGACCCAAAGCATCTGGTGGCATAGTCCCTAAGGCATTACACTGCTAACCCAAACACTACCTCTCTCCAGAGGTTCGAATCTATCTACCAGCAGCTCAGAGAGAAATCCCATGCGATTTACCACCTCAGAATCCCAGAGAAGAGTCAGCTGGGCGTCGGTCCCATTCTACTGCCTTGAAAGCCAGGTCCCACCAGGCTTGGGCAGGGTCAGCGAAGGAATGGACGATCACACGGATAGGATGGGAGGACACAGTGGCCGCACCTGCTGTGAGGATGGTGTGGGACTGGACATTAAGGGTCCTGCGGCAGTAGGGGGACACCCTGCAGCCCAGATGCCCTGGACACCACAAGCGTCCATGGCAAACCGGTCCTAGTGTGTGGAGAGGGTTACCTCCCACGAAGTCTCCTTAACAATGGGACTCCAGGGGCAGCCCCGGTGGCTACTAACCTGACGGTCTACATTTGGAACCTGGCAGCGACTCCGTAGGAGAAAGATGAGACACTCTTATTTCCCTGAAGATTTACAGCCTTGGAAACCCAATAGGGCAGATGGGCTTTCTCCTGCAAGGTCACCACTGACTACAGAGCACTGGTCTTGGTCCCACAGAGCGGATCACCGATTCAAGGATGCGTCCTAGTAGTGAGTGGTTTTGTGACGTTCACATCTGTCACCGTCCCTCAGAGGAGGGCCAGCCCTTGAGTCTAAGCGTGGGGAGTTTTGTTTTTGCTTTCTGTGCCAAGTTTTGTGACAGTTGAGAATAGTGATTGGTTACTACGTTTTACACATAGCAATTGAGAGGATGGTGTTTTTGTGGTTTTCTTTTAAAGGGCCTTGGATGATGCTTCGCAGAAACCTGCCCAGGATTGTGGAAGGGCAAGAGTTTTGTGTCACGTTTTGTTTTTAATATTTTGGTTCACCAACCTCCCCAAGATACATGAGTGGGAGTGAGACCTAGTTCCAGCATTCCAAAGAGTCCTGTCCCCTGGGTGAGTTTCAAGGCTCTATCACAACGCAAGGTTCTCACATACAGCTATTCCCAGAAATAGTTTCAAGTTTTAGTTTTGAAAACAATCCACAGAGGCCAACATGGCCTGAAGGATCCGAAGCAAGTATATGTTTGTAACCCCTGGGGGAAGAGAAAGGGCTTTAGAGTTCATAATTTAAAGGTTGGGTGGGGTGTTTTGTTTTGTCTCAGTTTTTTCTATCTTTTTTACACACACAAATAGACATGAACATCATTGGGAATATACACAAAAGGTACGCAGCCTTCCATTTGTAAAAACCCAGGCAAGTAGCATCTGCAGAAAAGTGTTAACAGGACAGGTCGGTCCATGGTGACCTCAGGGAGAGAGGTTGGCTGTTGCTCACTCCTCTGGGGTGGGGAGGGGGCAGGCTCCAGGGATGTTGTCATGACAACAGGGTAGCCAATCCCATGGAGAAGCAACGGGGCTGCTTGGTGAGTCAAAGAATCCCTGAAGCTCTAGTAAAGTGGCACTAAGCGTAATAATAAGTGTTTTAAGTGGCAGGAAATAATGAAAGCTGGTTTGCTGGGTCAGAGCAGGCAGCTGCTGGAACCCTGGCATGCGGGCTGTCTGAGCTGCTTCAAGAGTCCAGTTTCCCAAATGGCTCTGGAGGGGGTAAAGGGCACAGGGCAGACTCAAACCGGGGGCAAATGATTGTGAAGCTAACTGCTAACCTAAGAGTTAGTGGTTCAAACTCACCCAGCAGCTTTGCTAGAAATGCCTGAGCACCTGTTCAGTTACAGCTGAGAAACCTCCACGACCCCCCACCCCCACCCCCAGCACTTTTATGTGATGCATCAATGATCTTACTTAGTGGTACGGGGGTTATTGGCAGGGAAGTGGGTACTCAGGACTGTAATACCCTGAGATCCTACGGCGGGAAGGGGCAATGGGTCCAGAGAGAGCAGCAGTGTCGCCTGCAGAGTGGCTTCCCAGGGACACATGGGGAAGAGAGCTCTTCTGGAGGTCTGACTGTGGGGGAGGAGCCAAAGGGAAAAAAAGAATAAGAACCACAGCTGCACTGCTGACCCCACGTTGCAGACTCACCCGTCTCTCCTCACACTTGACATTTTTGTGCATTTCCTCCTGGAGGACGAGGGTAATCTAAGAACTCATGTCATTAAGAACTCATGTCATCTTTCACATGCATTCGTTAACCTCCGCGGTTACGCGTGCTGTGACTGATGAGGTTAAGGTGAAGGTCACAATGAGGAAGGAGAGGCGATAGGTAAATAAATGGACCCCTAGACTGGAGATTTGTTTTTCATAGAGGGATTTCAACATGTAGAGATGATCAAAAAAGAAGAGTTCTGGGGGGAAGGGTGGGCAAGGAGAAAAGTGCAACAGTAAATGAATGGAAATCCAAGGTCTGTAAACTTTCATTAACACGTTGCCACAAATGACTGCAATACATTGAAAAAAAAAGTGTTTCTAAGCATGGTTGTCAATTTAAAAGTGTGCGGCAATGTGTTAAAATGGAAGAAAGAGAGAGAGAGGAAAGAGAATAGGAGAAAGAGAGGGAGGGAGAAAGGAAATAAAGAGAGACAGAAAGAAAGAAAATGAAGGAAGGGAGGGAGGGAGTTGGGTTTTCAGAGGCTGTAAAGTGAGTCTTTAGTCCATTAAGCACCTGGTGGATTTGAACCACATGACTTTGGGTTGGCAGCACATTTCCTTACCACTAGGCCACCAGAGCTCCCTAGCAATGAAGAGAGCAGCTTTTACTAGGGCTGGGTATTGAAATCGTTTTACATTGGTCATAACCTAATTATCCCTTATAATGAATTACGGCACATCTAGCTATACGTGGAGTCTTACCTGGCGTTTCAGACACTACAGTCTCAAAGCCTCTGGGTCAGTCCTCCTCTGCGTTCTCCTTGTTGCTGTCGAGTTGGAGCAGATGCACAGACAGCCGTCCACTGGGCTTCTCCCGCCATCAATGGGAAGGAATGCCCGTCTGTCTCGGAGGGGCAGCTGATGGGTGTCAATCATTTGTCCTGCAGAGCAGACCACCAGCCCTCCCCACTCCCTTACAGCGTAGCAATTGTCAGAAGCAACTCAAAACCTCACACTTTTGACCAATTTTCATGACGATGCTGTTTTTGCCTCCATGCAGCATCATGGTCTCATTCTCTCTAGGATAAACCTGCTTGTTCCCCTAGCAGTCCGTGGTATACTCAATACTCTTCCCTAAGACCACAGCCCAAAGGCATCAATTCTCTTTCTGTCATGGAGCAAGGGTTCTGAGGCTTCGTCTGACATACTTTGGACATGTTGCAAGGCAGGACCAGTCCTTGGAGAAGGACATCATATTTGGGAGGGTGGAGGGACAGCACAGGAGAGGAAGGCCCTCGATGAGATGGATTGATTCAGTGACTAGGGTAATCGGGATGGGTGTGTCAGAGACAGTGAGATTGGCACAGGATAGAGCAGGGTTTAGGGCTGTTGTACACAGGGTCGTGAGGAGTCGCAGGCACACAAGGACAACATGCTATGTTCAGAAACTGTGATCCAGGTATTTATGACACAGCATTTTCCCACCCTTTCTCTGTGGCTTCAAACCCTGCTTGAACACACCGACATCTCCGGTTTTTACTACGTGGTTTCTGGCTCAGGCCAGAGGGTCGCCTGTGAACACGGCATCCCGGCTTGCACGGTGCCTTCCTCGAGGTGAAGGCGTCAGCTGCGGGGAGCTGGGGCGAGCGGGCGCTCCGTGGGGCTCCCGCCCACGTGGTTGCTGGCTAACATGAGTTCTCTGATGATGAACAAGGGGTAGGTGCCGAGGGCAGGCTTGTCCGCCTTTAGGAAATCCACGCGTGCTTCTCTGCCTCGCAGTCTCTGACGCCCGGCGGCCGCTGAGTCGTGTCCTGAGGTCCTCCGACGTGCCCGGTGCCCACAGGGCTCCTCCTGGGTGGGACCCAGCCGTGAGGGGGGCCCGACGGCCTTCCCGCCGCCCGCGTGGACCCTGAGATGCGCCGTCAGGTGCGAGCCCCGTCTGAAGGCCCGGCCGCACACCTTACACAGGTAGGGTTTCTCGGCGCTGTGCGTCCTCTGATGCTGCCGGAGCTGGGAGCTCACCCTGAAGGTCTTGCCGCACTGCTCACAGCCGTAGGGCTTCTCGCCGCTGTGGGTCCTCTGGTGCCGGCTCAGTGTGGAGCCCTGATTAAAGGCCTTGCCGCACTCCCGACACGGGTAGAGTTTCCTGCCGGTGTGGACCGTCTGGTGCTGCATCAGCTGCGACCGGTGGCTGAAGCTCGCCCCGCACTCCGGGCACGCGTAGGGCTTCTCCCCGGTGTGCGTCCTCCGATGCACCGTGAGGTGCGAGATGCGGTTGAAGGCCTTGCCACACTCCCTGCACTGATACGGCTTCTCGCCCGTGTGGATCCGCTGGTGTTCGATGAGCTGTGAGCTGCGGCCGAAGGCCTTCGCGCAGGCCGAGCACGCGTACGGCTTCTCCCCCGTGTGGACCCTCTGGTGCTGAATGAAGTTGGAAGCCGAGTTGAAGGCCTTCCCGCATTCCTGACACTCGTAGGGCTTTTTGCCGGAATGAATGTTCTCGTGCTGAACCAGTCTCGAGCCATATTTAAAGGCCTTCCCGCACTGCCCACATTTATAGGGCTTCTCGTTACTATGGACTCCTGGAGGCCCCATGAGGAGCCCCTTTTGCCAGAATCCGTTCCCACATTCCTTACGGCTGCAGGGTTTTTCTGCGGTGTAGATTTTCTCACAAAGCCTAAAGGATGTGTGCTGGTCAACAGGCGCCACGCCTTCAGGATGGAGCAGCGCTGGACGGAACCGCCCGGCGGCACTTCTCGGTTCTCTGTTCCCGTGGCCGCGGTGCGCCCAGCAGTCTTGGAAACACTCGAGTCCCAAGTGTGTAAGGTTTGCTGAGTCCTCCCCGCAGGGCGAGTCTACGTCGTAAACACAGTGCTCTGGAGCCTTGGGACCAGGCTCGGACTCAGGTTCTGGAAGAGAACAAAAGAAGCAAGTATGCATTTGTTTTATCTTTGTCCAGAGAGAGCAGTAATAAAACAGCAGCATGGTCATGAAGGATCTTTTTAAAGTGACCATGGACTGCCAGGAGAACAAAGAGGTTTGTCCTGGAGAGGGAGAAGCCAGACTGCTCCTTGGAGGCAAGGATTCTGAAGCTCCGTCTAACATACTTTGGACATGTTACAAGGAGCGACCAGTCCTTGGAGAAGGACATCATGCTTGGGAGGGTGGAGGGACAGCGCAGGAGAGAAAGACCCTCAATGAGGTGGACTGATTCATTGACTGGGGTAAGGAGGGACCAGTCCTTGGAGAGGGACATCATGCTTGGGAGGGTGGAGGGACAGCGCAGGAGAGGAAGACCCTCAATGAGGTGGACTGATTCATTGACTGGGGTAAGGAGGGACCAGTCCTTGGAGAGGGACATCATGCTTGGGAGGGTGGAGGGACAGCGCAGGAGGGGAAGACCCTCGATGAGGTGGATTGAGGATTGATTCGTTGACTGGGGTAATCGGGATGGGTGAGTCTGAACCAAGATATCTGAAGCACGAATCTAGGAAGCAATAAAACGAATGCAGAGGAATTGATATTCTAGGCATGAGAGCCGAAATGGATTGGAATCGACCCTTTTCAACCAAACAGCCGTGTCTGTTATTTTGGAGATGACAAACTGAAGAGGAATAAGGTTCCGTAAATCATCTGAAAGAACATTCGGCGACCGATAGCCGAGTATAGTTATGTCAGTGATGGGAAAATGTCCACACAAAAATACCCTGTTAATAACTCTGAGTATTCCTTTCTACAAAGACGGCGCCAAAAGTGAAGAAGGAAGCCCCTACCCCTCCCAAAACTGAAGCCAAAGCAAAGGCATTAAAGGCCAAGAAGGCGTCCTGAAGGGCATCCACAGCAAAAAAAAGAAGATCCGCACGTCACCCACGTTCCGGCGGCCTAAGACGCTGAGACTCTGAAAGAAGCCCAAATACCCCCGGAAGAGCGCTCCCAGGAGAAACAAGCTTGACCACTATGCCATCATCAAGTTTCCCCTGACCACTGAGTCAGCCATGAAGAAGATAGAAGATAACAACACACTTGTGTTCATTGTGGATGTCAAGGCCAACAAGCACCAAATTAAACAAGCCGTAAAGAAACTCTGTGACACTGGTGTGGCCAAGGTCAACACCTTAATCAGGCCTGATGGAGAGAAGAAGGTCTATGTTCGACTTGCTCCTGATTATGATGCTTTGGATGTTGCCAACAAAATTGGGATCCTGAGTCCAGCTGGCTAATTCTAAACACAAATTATTCTCACCAAAAAAACGAACAAACAAACAAAATACCAACCTGAGTATTCAAATTTATCCCCCAATCATTAATGACATAAGATGAAGTTAAGAGATTTTTACCAAGTTTTGGAGTCTGAAATGGGTCACACAATCAAAAGACACGGATAACAGCAGAGAGCTGGAAAGTGGAAGTTGGAAACAAAGAAAAAGGATCGAGAGGTGGAAAATATGGCTGTGGTGACAGGAACAACGCCGGAGATTACAAAGTAGGACCACACAAGGAACCTAAAAGCAACCTATGCATGGACCTGACCCCATGGGACATGCAAGACGCAAACTAAACTGGTGGAAAGGTTGACGGAGGGGTGAAGCGTCTGTCAGCCCAAGGCTGGGGCTGGAAGACACCATCAACTGCCTCTGTGCTGGTCCCAGTTAAAACCGGAGAGTCGACTTGCAGCCCTGAGATTATCCCACCAAAGAGACCGTCTAAGGACAGATCCGAGGCGATGACACTGTAGACTAGAGGAGCTGAGGGATGACACTGAGGACGTCACCTATGAAGAAAGCAAAAGGCCATTCCCTGGAAAGGCAAGAAAAGAAAGAACATCACGTCTGAAACTCACCCCTGAATGGAGCTAAAGCAAACAGGGGAGAGATGAACAAGGAGAGAAGCTCTCAGGCAGACAAGGTTTTCTAAAGAAATGTGCAAAGCTCTAGAGTTGGAAAAGCCAAAGGGACAAACAACGTGCAGTCAGTCTCTCTGAAGCTGAAAGAACTAGACTGGCGGAAATGGACCACCAGATCAGAAATGAAAATGTTGACACATCGTGAAAAATGTAACCAATCCCACTGAAAACTAGGAAGAGAAACTCTTGAATGAGAACCTAATTTGCTTTTTAAACTTTCACCGAAAACACAATACATGTTTGTTGTTGTTTCTGCTGTTGTTGGGAAACATCAAATCGGATCCGACTGGCACAGGAGGAGATCACCCCTCCTTGCCCAGCAGAGCATCTATCTGGTGGATTCAAACTGGTACCTTCAGGATTACAGTGCTACTTCTTGCCACTAGGCCAACAGAGCTCGCTTGCTGTTTTTTTTTCCCCCCTACTATTTTTAAAAAAAATTTATACTGGTTTGCTTACAAAGTTCAAAGACATTGTATTCCACTCTAGCCAACATTCAGAGCTCTTAATAAACTTTGAGGTTAATTAATTAATGTTAAAATGTTTCTAAGAAAGGTTTTCAACATTAGAAGACCTTTTCCATATAATACAGGTGCCAATGCTTGAACCTGCGTCTAATTTTTTTTTAAATTTTATTTAATTTTTTGTGTATGTGTATACCATCAAATCGGATCTGACTGGGACAGGAGATTGCCCCTCCTTCTCCAGCAGAGCATCTGGTGGATTCGAACCACGTACCTCTGGGCTTGCAGTGCAACTTCTTGCCACGAGGCCACCAGAGCTCCCTAAAAATTATCTGTTGTGATAAAATGAGTAACAAATATTCAGGCCCCTTTTTAGGATGCAATGGATACGATGATTCTGACAATTTTGCAGTACAGTGAAATACTTAATACCTGTGTTCTCTCTCTCTTTTTTTTTTTAAGTGGCACTAACTTTTTCTTTTCTTTTCTTCATTGAAAAACTTAGAAATATGAGTTCCGGTACAGCCCAGTTTTCATGGAGGGAGTAGTGAGATGCAATTAAAGCATCTGTCATGAAAAAAGCAATGAGAATGAGAAAAACTGGATGGATTATGTATACTGCGTTGAAACAGATAA